GCTGGGCCACGCCGACCCCGGCGTGCAGCGCCGGGCCGCCTACCTGCTGTGCCGGCTGACAAAGGCGCTGCGCGGGCCGCTGCGCGGCGCGGCGCAGGGTGTGCTGGCCGCGCTGGCGCCGCACCTGGCGGCCATCGCAGCCTCGCCCGCGGCGGAGCTGCCGGGGCCGAAAGCCGCGCCGGGGAGGGGGCCGGGCGGCGCCGCGCTCACCGCCGTGGACGACAGGCTGTACGCCTTTGAGGCGGCTGGGCTGCTCCTGGGCCAGGAGGAGATGGAGGCGGGGGTGGAGGCCGCCTGGCTGGCCGCCGTGCTGCAGCCCCTCACGCGGCAGGTGAGATCTGTATATTTTGGGTTTCTGCTTTGGGGAGGGAGGGTGTAGTTTGTGGAAGGGAAAAGAGGACTGTGGTTCAGTCTGAGGCTTAGATGCCGGTTTGGGGGGGAGTTGGTCCTTCATGGACTCCTCCTTGTCAGCGGGGGTTTTGCCGGGAGGGGACCCACCCCCACGTTCGCTTCACAACCTGTACCCGCGAAAATCTGGAATTTCCATCAAGCCGCACGAGATGCGGCGCGAGTTTGTCAGCTGCAGGTCAACGGTTCGAGCCCGTTTGGGGCCAGGCACAATGTTTCCGGCCCCATAGCTCAGTTGGTTAGAGCGGCAGTCTAATACTTCTTATTTTCCTTTTTCCTTTGTATAAGCGTCTCATCATTACCCCTGTTCAAACCCACAGATCGAGGAGGCGCTGGGGGAGGGCCCGGGCCCGAGCAACGGCTCAGCTGCCCTGGTGCCACCAGCGCTCATGGTGCAGCAGGCGCTGGAGGGCATCACCCGCGTGGCCAAGGGATTCTCCTTGCGCCTCTGCACCGAGCTGCGCCCCGCCCTGGGTGCTGAGTTCACGCGTGAGTGCCAAAGGGGGGGTGGGAAGGGAAGTAGACGGGGTTGCGCAGGGCTGTTATGTCCATGCGCCCTGACAAGGATACCCTGGCAGGGCCCCTTCACTCGGCTTGGGAACGCCGTCCCTAGCCCCACCAATCCTATTCATCCGGGCCCATCTCAGCCCTCCTCACACCCCGCCCTCCCACTCGCACAGGGGCTCTGCGCTGCGCCATCCAGGTGCCGCGCCGGCTGCCCGGTCACCGCGCGCTGCGCGCGCGGCTGCTTTCCTTTCTCCACCGCATGGTGGAGACGCTGGGGCCCGCCTCCCTGCCCTTCATGCCCGAGGTGCTGCAGGCGTTGGTGCGCGAGGGAGCTGACGCCTGCGAGCTGGCCGACGCCCTGATCCTCCTGAACCAGCTGATGTCGCGGTTCCGGGACGGCATGGCGCCCCTGATTCGGGTGAGCGCGGCTGGTGCCTTTCGTATTTTGTGTGGGGAGGACTGCATTTCCCCGAGGGGGGGGGATTTGTGCGGAGGCCTGGCCTGGGGTATGGCGCACAGGCTGTGGCTGGGTGGGCTGTGGGGTGGCTGGATGCAGCTGCCATTCCGCGGCCAGCAGCTCCTGATGATGCGAGGAGGGTGGGGAGGAAGTGGTGCAGGGAATGACCTTGATGTTGGCCTGCATGCTCCCCATGATGTGGCCCCGCTTGCACTCCTAGCCATCCCTTGAATGCTCTCCGATCAGCGTCCCCACCCCCCCCACCCATCCCTCCAACCCCACTACATTCTTTCCAGGACATCCTGCCGGTCCTGCTTTCTTGTGTGCATGCCGTGCTGGGGCCCGACTGGGACTGGTCTGGTGCGGCTGTCCCCGGCTCGCCCCCCGCCGCGTCTGCCGAGACGGCCCGGGAAAAGGAGGAGCTGCAGCGCGCCTTCTTCGCCTGCCTGCTCTGCGTCGCCACGATGGGCCTGGCGGACCAGCTGCTCGCGGCTGGGTCTGCCACACTGGACGGCGCGCTGGGGCCCCTCCTTCAGGTGAGGTGGACGAGGAGGGGTGTTGTTGGGGATGGGAGGAAAGCGTGGGAAAGCTGGCGATGCACCATGGGCAACCTTCCCCTGGACTGTGGGGCCTGAGTTGCCAAAGTTCCATGGGCTTCAAATAAAGTTGGAATCCTCCGATAGATATCGGCACATGCAACGGACCCCCTTTAAAAACCTTGCAGGCTGGTGGAGGCCACACGGACGTCACCGTCAGGAAGACCTGCATACAGGCAAGCCGGGAAGGAGCCTGTCGTTGCCAGCTGTGCAGCGTCCTGTGCACCTTGACCCCCGCAGAGATGGGCACCTGTTGTTGCTGTGAGCCTGAGTCTGGCTTTATTCTCATGCAGAAACTACCACACCCTCGCAGACCCTGCATCGCCTGCTGAGCGTCTGGATGGAGCCCAGCAAGGAGTCTGGCGCCGCCATCACCACCTTTGCCGTCGAGAAGGTGAGGCACGGGCCTGAGCGTGGACAGACCTGGCTCGCACTGCGTGCCTCTAGACTGACCCGCTGCACTCCTTCCTGGTTCCAAGCTTGCACCCAGGCCCCCCTTTCTCTACACCCTGCTCTGCAGTTTGCTGGGGAGGTATGCCTGCGGTGCATGCTTGGGGGGCAGTCTCGACTTGACCCTGGAGACGCATCCTCCATCGGACTGCTGGCCGAGGCGGCGGCAGGTCTGCGACTGGTGGACGAGCACGCGCGGGAGGAACTAGCCCGGCACCTCCTCAGGCATGGGCTGGATAGCAGGAGTGTTTTCCTGGGTTGGACAGTGAAGGATGTTCACGGTCTGGCCTCCGAGTGCCGCTCGCCATGTTCTCCAGGAGCCAGACCGCCCCCGACCTCAGTGCCCGCTGCAGCGCGCCTGGGTCCATTCTGCAGCATGCTGCAGCCCACAGCACTTTCATTCGATCATCATATGGGAGCAATACCTTCATCATCCCCCACACACACCGCAGTTCGGTCCTTCCAAACCAGCTGGGCTGGCCGGCGGCGGCTTCCACCCAGCTCCTGCAGCTCATCGCCGACGGCGACCATAAGGTCCTACGCGATTTCCTGAGGCAGGCGCTGCAGCAGCAGCCCCGGCCTGCGGCCGCCAAGCTGGACTGAGCGGCATGGATGGTGCAAGTCTGGCACTGGACCCACACGCTGCTTCCCACTTTGGTCTACTCTGTTTGCTGAGTGCCTCTTTCGTCACCGTGCTGTCAGTTGCAATGTACACTGCGCAATGCACTCCCAACACCACCGAGGCCCCATACGTAGTGCCTTGGGTGCCTCCAAAATATGGGAGGAGCTCCCTGCAGTGCGCCGAGCACCCCGCCTGCAAATGCGCAGACGAAGGCTCGGGGGCCGCGTGATGTCAGCCCGGCACGGCCGGACTGATGACGACGCTCGACGCACCCATCCACCAGCTGCATCAGGCCGGGGCGTCGTCCAGGTAGCTCTGAACGGGCGCCGGGTCGTAGCGGCAGATGCAGTCGTACACCTTCCCGCCGAACAGCCGCTCCGCGAGGTGAGCGTTTTTGAGCATGGCCAGCTTCAGGGCGGCGCAGCGGAAGCGGGTGTGGTAGTTGGTGTGCAGCGCCCTCCCCATGCCCTCGATCACCACCAGGTCTGCGCCCACCGCCGCCTCGGCCACTTCGGCCGACACGCGGCGCAGATCCAGGCAGGGCGAGCCATGCCCGCTGCTCACGATGTACAACCTGGAAAGGGGGGGAGGGAAGAGGCGAAGGGTTTGGGGATGTTGGACGATCAGCGAGAGACGGTGCTCACCATGTGGCGCGGGTCGCAGGATCAGTCACCAACGGTGTCCTCTGTCCCCTCCTTCTCTACCAAACGCGGCCCCAGCGAGCAGTTAAGGAAGAGCACATCGACACGGCCATCACCCACCGCGGATCCTTCCACAGGGAAGGGTATGACTCCCCAAACATGCCCTTGCGCGCCGCAGTTGTGGGGGTCTCCGGCTGGTCCTCAAAATCCGTGGCGTGAGGCAGCAGCCGGCGCGGGCTAGGGTTGGTACGGACCACGGGCCGCGCCACGGTGGCGTGCCCCGACTGGCCCCTGGCCACCGGCAGCTCCTGCGCCATGGAGGACTCCGGGAGGGCGCCGGCGACGGGTGGGATGTGGCCGCCGGCGGCCGCCAGGGTGGACACCGCGGCGTCCCTGGCCGCCCGAATGATGGGGCAGGTCTCGGCAGCCCGGGCCACCACGCCCCTCAGCTCTGCGGCAGTGATGTCGTTGATGGCAGGCAGCGCATTGGCCACCATGATGACCTGGCAGCGGGGGGGAAAGTGAGGGAGAAGCGAGATCGTCGTGCGCGTGAGAAAGTGAAACCTGGGGCATGACACACGTTGCTCGTGTCGCGAATGCACGGTGCACCCCTGGCACCGCCGGGGATGCTCCCCACCTCTGCGCCCAGACGCAGGAACTCCCGTGCCAGGGGAATCATGCCGAGGACGATGTCGGCGCCAGCGTTGTCCACAAACATCAGCACACGCTTGAAAGGGGGTGAGCTCTTGGGGGCTGCAGGTGTGGCAATGGGGTGCAAAGGTTGAGGAGGGGAAGTGGTGGTGGCACAGATGCCTTCTTGCTGCTGCTCCTGCATGCGCGGGAGCGCCATGTTTCGATGATGACAGTGCTTTGTGTACTCCAGTAGACCCACCCCTGACGAGGCCTGCTTCATCTGACCTTGATGCAGCCAGGTAAGAACCACACCAGGCCCTTGCCGCACCCCAGCTCACCGGCTCCCCCCCGGTGGCCGTCTCCGACGTCGGAGGCCGCGCTGGTGCTGAACCAGGCGGCAGCAAAGGCGTCATAGTTGTCCACGTGCCACGGCCGCTGACTCAGCTTAGTGCGGGCCTGGAAGGGCAGATGGGGCGTGAAGAAGATCGATGGGCAACGGCCCCCAGAGGGCTGCCGTGCCAGTCAGAGCCGGGCATCGACGGCATGACTCTGTGTTGTAGTCCCGATGCATGACATCGTCTTGCATGCACTTCCATACACACCATCACAGCTCAATGCATGCTTTCGATTCCGATGGACCCAAGCCTCTGACCTGTCGGTACATCTCCAGGATCGTGGCATTCTGGTACAGGTCGACGCAGGCCTTGGCTCCCCAGTCAAAGATGTTGGCCGCCAGGGATCCCTGGGAGGGGTGGAGCGAACGAGTTTGTGTGAGGGCCGCATGCATGCTCGCATCTTCACCATGAAGATGAGATGATTGTGGACAGAGCATGACATAAAAACATCCCTGCAATGCGTCATACCAAGGAAGCGCCCTGATGAGAAAGCTCCTCACCCTCAGCATCCTCGACACCCTGCTACCCACCTGAATCAGGGCCAGGAGTCGCTCAGGGCCGTCCAGCTTGTCCACCTCATCCAGGAGGTCTGGCAGGGCCTCCAGGGCTGCAGCATTCTCCCGCTCCTTATCCATCCTGTTGGCCAGAGTTCATGAGGTCGTGTTTGGAGTGGGACTTGGTTGCGCCTCGGCAAGACACTACATGCGTGGATTACACTTTAAGCGCTGACGCTATATGATATCCATCAAAATGTTGCCCCCCTCGCCCCCAAGACATCTCCCAAACCCACATTTCCTCAAACCCCACCCCCAGGCAAAAAGTCGCCGCAACCCTGCCCGCACACCTGTAGACGTCCTCGAACCCAAACTCTCGCAGGCACTCCTCCCGCAGCTCAAACAGGTCGGCCAGTCCCAGTTGGCCGTATGCCCCCGGCTCGGCGCTCAGCCGCCGGAGGTGCATGTCCAGCACCCGTCCAAAGGTCGAAGCCCTTCGCAGCGAGTCTGGGTTAGAGGCGTGGATGGGAAGGGTTGCTCCGGGACCGCCGTTGTTTTTGTGGCCGGGACCTGCCAGCCCATCTGTAGGCCTGACCAGGGTCGCACATGTAGATTCCGTAGTAGGTGTCCACGGTCACCACCCCACCACCCACCTGAGGTGTTGCCCTCGCTGGCGGCAGCCTTCTCGACGACGGTGGGGATGCCCTGCATCAGGACCTCGATCCAGTACGACATTTCCTCAGGGTCATTGTTGATGTCTGTGGTGCTGGGATCATACTGCAGCGGGGAGGGACAGAGGAGGACTTGGCTGCATGAAAGGAAGTCTGTCCAGGGCAAGGGCATTCCTCATCTTGAGTTCACGAGCTCATGCTCAGGATGCTGGGCCAGGTCTGGAGAAGTCCTGACCAGCAGTGAGTTGCACGCAGGCTGAGAAGGGCAATGTCGAGCTGCCACTCAGCCACAGCCCGGTAACCCCCCCCGGGTGACCCACCCATTCACCTTGATCCGGGGGTCCAGCAGGGGGAAAGGCTGGGAGGAGGGGGTGTACTGCAGCACGCCCACATTCAGGCTGATGTGGGGCTGGCTCCCCAGCCGCGACAGCAGTGCCTCGCTGTTTTGGGGACTCTCCCGTGACAGCAGCTTGTTGGAAGAACGGCCGGAGCGATACAGGCGAGGCTGTTGGAGGGCCCTGGAAGAGAGACATTGAGAGGTTGTACTCAGTTGATGGCGGGAGGGAGCACACCTGGCTGCTTGCAATGGAGATGCATGCGCACTGTGAGCCATGATGTCAGCGCAAACAACCTCCAGTCCCCCTCCACCCCTCGGCCGCAAAGGGTTCCCCATTTTGTGCCCGGCTCGCCGGCAGGAATCCCTCGTCCCCCCACTCCCCCTCCCCCGCCGCCTCACTGCTCATGCTCTGTTTTGGCGGTTTCCGTGATGGGCTGTGCGGCCGCAATGAACTTCTCCACCCATGTGACCTTGTCAGATAGGCTGCCGATGGCCGGACCTCGAACCTCGCCGCCCGTGACGGGCGCACCCACCGTGAATCTCTCAACGAAGCAGGCCTGGGCCTGCATGGGCGGGCACATGAGTGCGGATTCTGGAGGTTGAAAGGTGGAATCACCGACCCACACACAGCCACAAGAGACGACGTAGGGTGTGCCTGTGTGTGCACATGGCAATGGGGCATGGCAAGAGCATCCCAAGAGTGCAAATTCCACGGCCAGCCAGGATGAGCCCCTGTACCACACTGTCAAACTCCCAACCCCCCTCTCACTCCCACCCTTTCCTCACCTCGCTCGCGCTGGCGGAGCCGTCGAAAATCTGCAGGCTGGGGACCTTCAGGTATGCGCCCACGGCCCCCAGGAAGCCCTCGTGACGCAGGAACTTGGCGCTCATCTCGCCCTTGGACCAGAACTGGATGGCAAAGGAGATTGTGTCCATCGTGTAGGGGTGGCCCCGGATGAAGAAGCCGCCAAAATAGATGCGCGGCAGGTTGTACCTGGGTGGGGCGGGGTGGAGGAGAGGGAGAGAGTGAGGGAAAGCGGCTTGGGCAGTCGCTGGTGACATGCAGTGAACGTATAGAGTGGTATTCGAGTGAGGAAAGAGTGGAGGTGAACCTAGACAAAGGCACGCCAGCTGCCGGCAAGACACATGAAGCCTTGCATCCTCTAGAGTGTATTACCCCACCCACCCAGTGTGACGCACCGCTTGGCGTTCAGATAAGCCAGCTGCCCTATGTTGTAGGAGATCATGCGACACAGGGACATGGCTATGTCTGCTGGGTTATAGTCGGATGGCTCCTGCAAGCAAAAGGGCAGCACAGAGGACGGAAACGGCTGGGTCACTAATGCAGGTGCATGACAGGCCATCTAGGGGTGCCCACCTCAGTCATTCAGGCAGAGCACACCAGCACATAGCTAGGGAGGGAACCAGCACAAAGTCACGGACGTGAAGCTTCCTGCTCTTGCAAGCTCAGCAGAGTACACGAGCAGCGGTGGTCCTGCAGCCCGCAGCAGAAGAAAGCAGGAACCCCCACTCACCATGCTGGTGTTGATGACTTTGCCAAAGGACGATGCAATCGTGTTGGCCGACAGGCCGATGCCAGTGTAGTCCCGCCCCCCGTAGATGTCGCCCACAAGCATGTCCACCTGTCGCAGTGTTTCGAGCCGGAGGGGTGGGTCGTGCTGATTGTTCCCACGCTGGTTTGGGCATGACTACCCCACCTTGGGCCTGAGGGGGGCCAAACACCTTGGATGGCAGGCAACAGGCCCCCAGCACCCTGTGCAATGGCTGGCTCAGCAGCATCGATCACAGTCCTCACATTGGAGTTGTCGCCCTGGCTGGAAAGGGTGAGGATGTCGTCGAAATTGTTGACCCCAGTCAGCAACCGGCACAGGCCCCAGAAGGTACCTCCCCCGACGTTTGTCCCTGGGCAGGGGTCGGGGACAAGCAATGGGGGACCCGCAAAGGTGGGCAGCTGGAGGGAGATGCGCACCTGGGACGCAGCATGTGCAGGCATTCGCTGGTGCTGGAATATCCTTCCCTCTCAACATAATGAAACTGCAAGCAGCCGCTGAAGCCGCCCTCAGCAGCACCTTGAGCGCCTGTGCTCACCTGACACTCGGGTGTACTTGCCCTCGCCATCCACTTTGACCATGCTCACGCCACTCCCGATGTTGACGAGGAGGTAGGGATACAGGTCTGCGGCACGTTGTGTGAGTTCTGTGTCGAAAACTGCAGTGCACATGCAAGCATGGCCAAGGCGGCACCCAACCCATTGACCCGTACTCATCACCTGGGCCGGTCTCCTCAAAGATCATCTGCTGGTTTTCGTACATGAAAGCCTCGTGCCGGACTGCGGAGTGGAGTGGAGAGCTCGGAACGGTCTTGGCACCGATGGGGCATACTCATAGGCTGCAGAATAATCAATGGCATGTCCTCTCGAACCCCATGTACCGATGCATGCAGACTTGAGGCTCAACAGCGAGCTGTGTCACCTGCTTTCAGTAGAAAGTTGCAGCCCTCCACCAGGCAGCTCATCTCGTCTTCTCGCTCCAGGATCAAACCCAGTCGCTCCTTGAATCTCTGTAGGAGAAGAATAGCTGGAGGTATCTGAGAAGGTGCTGCCACGCATAAGCATCACATGCTGGGAATCTATTAGGGTTGATAGTCCATGCATGCCCAACCAGAAGCCAGCAGCCTCAACTTCCAGGATCCAGGTTTGCTCCATCCTCAATGCACCCTCTGAATGAACACTCTACCTCTGCATACTTGAAGGCCCCCCCTCCTGTGGCCTTCACCCTCATGGGCTCATTGCCGCCATTGGAGCGGTGCAGGCGTTTGGCCTCCATGAAGTCCATGCACTCCTCAATCTTTGAGCTTTCAAATTTTACGAAGTGCAGCTTGCCTGGGGTGGGGATTGAGCAGGCTGTGTTATAGGCCACCAGGATCAGAAGAAGGCAGGAAATGCAGCCAGTTGCTGCATATCCCTCGACTCCTGCCATGCCGAGGGCGCAGTTGCCGACTCAGCGTGCAAATTGCATAACACCATCCCACATCTGTGTCCATGTCGCCTGGAATGCATCCAATCATGGTTCTCACCCCCAGCGCTACTGCTGGCGTCTGAGCTCCCTTTGGTGAAGTAGACAAGCTTGATGAGGGAGCCGCCTGCGATCAGAGCACCGCAGGATCGAGGTTTATTCGACTGGCCTGCCGAATACCCTCTTGGAGTGGCACACCAGCTAGCAAGGCCATGCACCTGCAAGAAGAAACCCTTGAAATACACAATGATGAGTCAAAATCGCAGGGGCCCTACCTATGTCCAGCGCAATGTGGCCCACATACTCATTCTGATGAGGCAGGAGGATCAGGGGAGCGTCCCGTCGCCTTTGGGTCCCTGATATGGTATGGGTTCCCAGGTGGGAAGGAGGCACGGATGGGTACTCCAGCAGCAGGGATCCAAGGTCAAGGCGCAGGCAGCATGCATTGCGCATGTGCCTGGCAGCCTCGTCCGCAGGCTGAAGGATATTAATTCGCAGCACACCTGACTCAGCGCTGGGCGCTTCCTGGCTGATGCAAGCATCCGTGAGGTCCAGGGTGGAAGGGGAGGCAGTCTTCATGCCAACCTGGGCCTCATGCCCTTCCTCCACAAGCGCAGACTGCAGGGACATAGCACCACTCGGTCCCGAGATTCCCACGATAGTGTGGAAGATTGCTGGTAGGATCACGGTGGTTATGTGCCCGGCAGCTATGTTGAGCTCGTGGCCATCCGCAGGGCGTGGCCTCGCTGACACGGAAGACAAATAATTAATCGACAATTTAATGGGCGTTCGTGATAGATTTCTTACGGTCGTGGATCCACCCAAACCGGTTTCCCCGGCATGGTGCGCTTGCGTAGAAGTGGAGTCCACGTCGGACATTCTGTGTCCGGGAGTGTTCATAATTCCTTTCCACGGCAGAGATTGATCACCTTCACAGGACCATTCCCTGGGTTAAGAACACCCACTGGGATCCCAATACATTTGCTCATCGCGCACTTGGAGAAATATCTCAGCCGGGCCTGCTTTCCGGGACCCTGTCACCCTCGACGGGTAAGGGTTGCGCCCCAGCCTCTTCCTCACACAACTGCCTCCAAGAGGAAGTAAACAAGATAATTTGAACCCCAAAAGCTTGTTCCCGCTTCGCTCGAGCCCTGAGGCTGTTCGGGAGGCAGTGGCGTTACCAGCGGAGCCACAATGACAGGCAAGGAGTCGGTCTACGACGACCTGGGTGTAGCTCATCCACGTGCGGCGTCGAAATTCATACTCTTTTGTCACCACCCCTTCCGTCTACTCCTGCCTCAGTGCGACCACCTCCACCGAAACCGTGGGAGCGAAAGGCTGGCGTGACCTCGGCTGAGGGCGGGGCTCCCAAGCCTTGGGACAAGCCCCTCGGCGCTGAGACCACGGTCGTCTCCGCTTCCGGGGAGGTGTCTACTGCAGCTCCGGGCAGCAGCACACTCCCCGGCGTGGGCGCCCCTCCCGCCCGACCTTGGGAAGCCCCGTCCTCGGGACCCGTGTCCACCAGCTATGGCGCTCCAGGCAATGCCATGACAGGGTATGGCAGTGGGAGCATGTACAGCCGGTGAGTGATCGAGCCCCACGGATTAGTTGTTGTTCGGGTACCACTCTCCTAGATGCATGCTTACTGATTGGCCACGGTATGTATCGTACTGACATGGTCCAAGCGGGCATGGCTGTGCTCGCAGGGTGACGAAGCGAGGACAACCCCTCTGACAAACATACATACCAATCTCCCTCCCTCAGACCTGCCTACGGTGGCGTCAATTCCGGCGGCATGTACGGCAGCGGCGGCGCCTACAGCACGACAGGCGGCATGTATGGCGCCTCGCCCTACGGCGGGGCGGGCATGGGCTCCTACGGTGGCTCCTACGGCTCAGGCGGCATGTATGGCAGCTCCTATGGCGCCGGCAGCATGTACGGCCGGCCCGCCGGCGCCGGCATGTACGGCGCGGGCGGCGGCATGTACGGTGCGGGCGGCGGCATGTATGGCGGCGGCATGTATGGCCAGGGCGGCGGCATGTACGGCCAGCCGGGCCTGCTGGGCGGCGGCCCTGTGGACCCCAACAACCCGCACGCCCCGCCCCAGCCCCCCTCCGGCTGGCAGGCCATGCTGGCGGGGCTGGGGGGGGCCTCATGCACTTCTTCGGCCGCCTCTCCTTCCTCGTGGACGAGAACGCGCACGCCGTCCACTTCTTCGTCTCGGCCCTGCTCCAGCTGCTGGACCGCGCGGGGTCGCTGTACGGCGAGCTGGCGCGCTTCATCCTCCGCATCCTGGGCGTACGGCGCGCCAAGAAGGCGGGCCAGGCCCTGGTGGCTGCGTCGGGGCCGGGCCAGCCGCCGCTGCCGCTCGGGGCACCGGCTGCGCCCAAGCCCCTGCCCGCCGCCGCCTCTGCAGCAGGCGGCGCTCCCTGGGACAGCGTGTGGAAGAAGCAGGACTGAGGTGGGGTGCGTTGATGCCCCCCATTCGATTCGCACCTGCTTCACCATCTGCAGCCGGTTTGTGTCCGGTGCCTTTTGGCTACATGTTCAGGAGATTAAAGTAGTTGTGCCTGCAAGTGGCATTGTGGACTTGCATCCTGTAGCAATCTCAAGGCTGCGCAATCTGAATGAGCATCAGTGGGTTTGCAAAGCGTCTGTCGAGGGACTGGAGGACAGGTGCCATGCACACTTGAACAGATGGTCAACTGTCAGAAAGGAGGGACCAGAGGGTATCTCTTGCTTGTCTACCATATGTGCGAATATGTGTTGAATCAAACTCGCTTCAAATGGGCCAGTTCTGGGACTCCCGAGATGGACGTTATTCTGATCTCAGCCCACCCACACCTCTCGGCTGGCAGACGCAAATCCGGATTCCGTGCGGAAGTTGCAAAGTGGGGTTTCTGAGGAGCAGGCGCCCGCACCTCGAGACTCAAAGGATGGTGTGCGTTTGGCACAGATCAGGGCTCCGGTGCAGTGATAGAACCATCTCCGACCAGGCATGCTGTGATCAGGGGCCCAACAGCCATGTCCCCCATGACTTGCCGTCATGGGCTGCCCAAGCGACCACCCAGCCACGCCTTCCCACTCTGCGGCACCAGCCCAGTGCCTCACCTCGCCTCGAATCCCAGACCATATATAATGCGGAGTAAATGCCATCACCACCGCCCGCCTGCGGCGTTGGGGGGCCAGGACGAGGGAGCGGCCGGCAGCGTCCGGTCCCCACCCACCCCAAGGCCTGCACGCAGCTCGCGCCACTCCCCCGCCCTGCAGCGCGTGCTGTCCGAGCCCGGGCTGGAGGTCCCCGGCGGCGGAGACCCATCCAAGTACCTGGCCACCCAGGAGGCCTTCTGGAAGGCAATGCGGCGGCGGGGCCCCAAGCCCAGGGCGCCCACCGTCGTCAGGACCACGCAGATGCAGTATCGCGCCCCCGTGGACTACGACGTGGCGGTGGCGGGGGGCACCCTCGGCATCTTCCTGGCAACCGCCCTGCAGGTACATGTGTTGTGGACTTTTCTTTTCTGAGGGTGGGGGAGGGGGCTCGTCTGCCAGGCGTGCCTGCCAGGCAGCGCAGGGGGTCCCACTCAATCCATCGCCTACCACACGCCACGCTGGTGCTGGGACCCCGGCCATGCTCTTGGGGCTCTGCGCGCCTTATGCGCCCTGTGAAGGACCATCGTCCACAGCCCCCCTCGCCCCACCTCCCCCCTCAACCCCCAGCTGCGGGGCCTGCGGGTGGCGGTGGTGGAGCGCGGCCGCGTCCAGGGCCGGACGCAGGAGTGGAACATCAGCCGCGCGGAGGTCGCGACGCTGGTGGGCACAGGGGTTCTGACACGGAAGGAGCTGGAGGAGGCCATCGCGTCGGAGTTCAACCCGACGCGCGTGGCGCTGCACGGCGCGGCGCCCATCGAGGTGCGCGATGTGCTCAACGTCGGCGTCTGCCCCGCCACGGCCGTGGACCGCGCGCGGCGCCGCTTCGAGGCGGCGGGCGGCGTCGTGCTGGAGGGGGCCACCGTGCGTGGCGCAGTCGTGCACCCCAACGCAGTGGTGCTGGAGACTGCGGCGACGCGGAGTGGGACTGTGGCCGCGAGCAGTGGGGGCGGGGACCCGGGCAGCGACCACGGCCGGGGCGCCCCGAGCGGCGCGCAGACGGCGTCAGATGGGCGCCCATCGGACGCCGTCCAGACATCGGTCCGGCGCCCACCCGCTCCCGCCGCCGGCGCCCCCGGCAGCTCCCCACCCCGCCCCGTGGCCGCGTCGCTCCTCATAGACACGATGGGGCACTGGAGCCCCATCGTGGCGCAGCTGCGCCGCGGCGCGCGCCCCGACCGCGTGGTCATGGTGGTGGGCGGCTGCGTGGATGGCGTGCCCCCCGCCGCCAACGTTGCGGGGGACCTGCTGGCCACGCTGGGCGACGCCGCGGACGACATGCAGCTGTTCTGGGAGGCCTTCCCCGCGCGCGACGGCGGCCGTACGCTCTACGCCTTTGCCTACCTGGACGCGCACCCCGACCGCCCCAGCTTTGAGGCCATGCTGGACCGCTACCTGGACGGCATCCCTGCCTACCAGGGCGTGGCGCTGGAGGAGCTGCGCTTCAAGCGCCTCCTCCTCGCCGCATTCCCCTGCTACCCCGACGCCAGCCCCCTCAAGCCAGGCTTCGACCGTATCCTCCAGGTGGGGGGGGGAGTGAGATACTGGATGTAAAAAGGGTTGTAGGTATCGCGAGTGGCACCTTGCTGCCCGTTATCGTTCGATGGCCCTGCTGAAGGTCTGCGAGCCGGGAGCACGCCTTCCTGGTGCACGACTTCCTGGAGCAGCTGACGCTCGTAACCGCCGCTCTGCGGGGCCTTGCATGCTGTACACATGCATACATGAATATATATGTATGGATGTCCACGGAGAACACCTCCCATCCCCAACCCCATTCAAAGGCAGAAACTGATCCCCCACCCCCTCACCAAACAAAAAAACACACTCCCTCGCACTCTGCCCAGGTGGGAGACGCGGCGGCGTCCCAGTCGCCCCTCTCCTTCGGTGGCTTCGGCAGCATGCTGCGCCACCTGCCTCGCCTGACCCAGGGCGTGGAGCAGGCGGTGCGCAGCGATAGCCTCTCCCGCGGCGCGCTGGGCTGGCTGCAGCCCTCCTCCCCCACCCTATCCAGCGCCTGGTTGTTCCAGGGGGCCATGGCCCCCCGCATCGGCCAGCTGGCGCGGCCGGGGTCGCGTCCCGGCGCGCCCCTTCGGGGCCCCGGCTGGCTGCCCCCGGACCACGTCAATCGCCTGCTGCGCTGCGCCTTTGGTGTGCTGCAGTGGCTGGGGCCCTGGGCGCTGCGCCCCTTCCTCCAGGACACGCTGCTCTTCCTGCCGCTGTCGGCGACCATGGCGGGCATGGCCCTGCGCGACCCCGGCACCATCCTGCGCGTCGTGCGCCAGCTGGGGCCCTGGGAGGTGCTGAGTTGGGCGCGGCACTACCTCGCCCTGGGCCTGGCCACTCTGCTGGATGCCCTGCTCTGGCCCCTGCGTGGGCAGCTGCAGGGCAGCTACCGCTGGAGGCGCGTGCTGGACGCGGTGCACTGGGGGTCGGGGGCCGACTACCACGACCACTGATGCAGGGAGGGTGGGGGCTGTGCGGGTGGGCAGGCCACTGTCACCACTGCAATCTGCTGTAAAGGCAGGAATCGGCAGGCGGTCATCATATAGAGGCAATGTAACATGGGAGAGCCTTGTTGGGCAGCCCGCGGCGGTCCTGCCAAGTTGGGGACTGGCTTTGCTTGGGACTAATACCCCGCATGCCGGACTGCCACGTGCCCACCTCAATCCAATGACACAGCAGTGCCGCAGACCCTGCAAATTGTGAAGCGGGATCCCTGTCGCTCAACAGGTTGGAGACGCCTCCTCCCTCCGCCCGCCCTAAATAACTCTTGCGTGCACTGCACCGGATGCTTGCTGTTCAATGTGAGCATACAGAGGAAAACTCGGTGTCGACCAAGCATGGGGCTCTCCTTGCCCAGGAGGGGCCTCCAGAGCAGCAGCCGGCAGGGGCAGAGGGCGGGTCCTGGCGGCAGGGCTGCCGCGATAATTGAGCAGGTGTTCCGCCGCTCCATCTTTTACGTGCTGCCAGGGATGGATGTGACGTTGGGCTCGTTCCCTCGGCTGCCTGCCAGCGTCTGGTCTACCAGCTTTGCGGCGACCTCCTCCGCATGCCGGGTGTGAGCCGCCGCCGGCCGCCCCGCCGCAGCCGCCTCCTCCTCCTCGCGCACGTCCTGGATCTCCCCATGCCGTAGCTGCCCCACGATGATGCGCACGATGAGGTACGACCTGGCATAATGAATTGTGTTGCGGGGATGGTGTGTGTGTGTGTGTTTATTGGAGGCAAGGACAGAGAGAAAGGTAGGGGGGGGGGGGGGTCCAGGCCCGCGCTTCAAAGCAGCACGATTCAAGGCAGAGTCCCCATCGGCTGCAGCAATCGCAGGTGACAACTCCCGTGCTGGATCCTGCCAATCCCCAGACACTTCATCCACTCGGCCATATGCCCCGCCTCATGCTCACCAGTACATGTGGAGGACCAGGAGGAAGATGAGGAACCCGTTGAGGATGGAATAGTGCGGCTCGATGTTGACGTCAAACACCCTTCCATAGTGCTGCAGAGATGGGAGAAAT